AAAAAAAAAAAAAAAGAGTTCCATGGAATGGTAATTAAAAGAACTCACTGAATAATTCTTAGCTAACTGCTGCACATTTTGTAATAAAAATGCCTATGGTTGCAAGAAGGGCCCTCTTTCATTCATAAAGACAATACAGTAATATTTGTGTAAGTTTCATATAAAAATTCAGCTTGTAAGAAAGGTAACTTTGTTTTCTTTAAAGACTCATAGATGATCACTAAAAATACTTACTCCCCAGAGATTCCCTCTTCCTACAACACAACACCTCACTTGGCAATCATTTCCTCTCATTTGACTATCCCATTTGTGATGTGTGTAGAATAGTTCATATGCAAATAATGCATCTGTATTTCCACTATCTGAATATCAGTAGTTTCCCTACCTCAATAACAGATAAACAATTTCTCTGTTTTCTATCCTGAGCCCTTGATCTGATTTTCTGGGCCCCTTCATCTCTCAATAATGACCTTACTCACAAACTGGTCCCAGAACACATACAGGAAGTTACCTTCTGACATCAGGGCCCTCATTAAACTAAAATCCCAGTGTCCTAGACAATCGGGATTTTTCTACTTAAGAGACTTTACCCAGCTAACCCAGGAGGCTGAAGCAGGAGGATCACTTGAAACCAGGAGGGTGACATCAGCTCGGGCAACAAACAAGATCCTGTAACTTAAAAAAAATTTTTTTTTCCAGCTCAGGTCAAAAACGGAGCAGGTCAAAACTCCCATGCTGATCAGTAGTGGGATCGTACCTATGAGTAGCCACTGCACTCCAGCCTGAGCAACATAGCAAGAGCCCCCTCCTCAAAAAAAAAAAAAAATTCTTGCAGTTTTTTGAGCCCACTTAAAAAAAATTGCTTTTAATTAGCTGCAGCTACTTGGGAGGCTGAGATGGGAAGACAGCTTGAACCCAGGAGTTTGAGGATGCAGTGAGTTACGATCATGCTACTACACTCCAACTACAGCTAGAGATAGGGCAAGACCTCATTTCTAAAAAAAAAAAAAATTTAATAACAATTTTTAAAAAGAGACTTCAAGTCCCAAATGGCAATAAAGGGCTTAATTTTATGCTATACTATAAATCATCCACATGCAACTGCCTGGACACAACAAAATGAGTACAAAGACATGAGAATCAGTGAAAAATTTAAGCTACTCCTCAAACTTGGATAGCTTTTACTCATAGACTAGAATCCATGACTATAATTTTAAATTATATACACACGTAACATATTCTACAAGCCACAGCACCTAAATTATATGAAAGAATTAAATTTTTTCAATATACCACAGAATTGTGCAATCAGCACTATGACAATGGGGACATCAGTAGTGATTTGGGTGACTATCACTATTGATCCCACTTTCAGGGACATGTGCAACAAGTAAACCAGAATAGCCGGAACACCATTGGGTAAACTAAACACTTAAATTATTCCCTCCCATCCTCAAAAAATATTAATTACAAAAATAAAAACAGGCCAGGAGTGGTGGCTCATGCTTGTAATCCCAAGACTTTGGGAGGCTGAGGTAGGAAGACAGCTTGAGGCCAGGAGTTTAACACCTAGGCAACATAGCAAGATCCCATCTCGACCAAAAAAAAAAATCTTTGTTTTGAGATAAGGTCTTACTCTGTAGCCCAGGCTGGTGTATAGTGGAGCAATCTCGGCTCACTGCAACCTCTGCTCCCAGTCCCAAGTGAGCCTCCTACCTCAGCCTCCTCAGTAGCTGGGACTACTGGTGCATGCTACCACACCAAGCTAATTTTTGTATTTAAAATATAATTTTAAAAATATAAATAAAAACAATGCTAGTTTGTATCTGGCCTCAAAGAAAAAAAGTTTGTATATGATTCCTTCTCCTTTACTCTTAACCAAACTGCTTTTCTGTCCAGTCTCTTTGGTCAAGCTCCTGAACCACTTAAAACACCAGAGTCCCTTTATGTACAGTCAAGCCAACGAAAAGAGCCATGACCTTTTTTTGCCCAGCCCCATAAAGTAAATGGGTGTTAACATGTTTGTCAGTGAAGTATAGGAATGGAAAAAACAAACTGTCTTCTATCACCATCTAAATTTTTGTGGATTATTCTCCTCTTTGCTCCATTTTCTCTTTAACCCTTCCTGTTTCAACTCTCTTCTCTTTATTCCCACATCTCTGTTCCAAGTTCTTTTTGTTCTTACTCTTCTCAGTCTTAAAGGCCAGAACAATGCCCTTTTATTTCATTTCCAATAGGAAAGAAAACGTATCAGGGATTGGGAAATCTAGCTCATACCAACAGCAGCATCTGCTACTATCACCAACAATCAACAAAATCTACGAATATCCAAGCAATTATTCAATACCTACTGTAGATGAAATAGTGTGACAAGAATGATGGAGGAGATAAGGTATAAGACAGTTATTGCTCTCCAAGAACTGACAATCTAGTTAGAGAGATCATGCCAAAATGTGTGAACAGGTAAAACATAAAGAAGTCAGAAGACTGCAGTACATAATCTAAAGAAACACAGGAGCTGTATTGTTTGGACACAGACCAAAGGAAGGCACAGTCACTGTGTTCTAAGGGCTCTCAAGGAGCCTCACTCAGAGAAAGCACAAGCTAGACTCTGAGGAGTCCTAAGAGCAGTAAGAGATGAGGTGGAGAAGAAAAAACTTTGCAGGAGGCTAACCACCTAGGTCAGCCTAAGAAGAAAAATATAAAACAGAAAATTTTATGTTACACATATTTTACAATTAAAACAAAAAAAAAAAAAAAGAAGGAAAGAAGGACAGGTGCTTGTGCCTCAGCTGTCTCTAGCAGGGGAGAAAATGCCAGTACAGAGGGCTTGACAATCTGAGAATTCCTGTGCATGGACAGGAACATCCTAATGAACTTGGTCAATTGACACTGTCCAGTGCATAGTCACACCCCCATAATTCCTAATATTATTTTTTCTAACCTTACATTATGAACATATTCTTTTCTTATTTTAAATACCAACACTGTATAAAACCTGACAGTACGGCTAAAGCAAAAGAAACTATTGATCAACAAGGGAGAGGTGTGCATGGTGAGGAAAAACACGATAATTGTTTTTCTACTAGGGAAATGCCCTCTGGAGGCAAAGGTTCAGCAGCTTTGCTATAGCCATAGTGCAGAAATCTCAAACCCAGAGGATCGATAGGTCCCCATTCTTCAGAGTTTTCTGCTCGGCACAAGAGAGGAAGTCTACAATCACTTCTAGAAATAAGTCAGGAAAAAAAACTTAGCTTTCAGCTTGCAGCCAGTTGCTAATAAAGACCTGAGTATCTAAATTCAAGGTATTAGCCTCTGCCAACCATCTGCGGGAAAAAAATCCCTAAACTAGTAGATAAAGCAAATGTTATAGAAATCACACAAGACACACCTTTACTTGGTTGAAATCATGCCAAGGTGCCCTTTTGACTTTCAATTTAATCAGGAAGGAAATCCACGTAACAGTTGATGAAGAAAGATTAGTGAAAACACTAAGAGAAATGTTTCCAATTTCCCATAATGGCCAGTGTTAGAAAAGGAAACATGCTTGCTAAGAAACTGTCAAAATAATCATAAAAAATGTAAATAGTGAGGATAATAACTGGCCCAAGGTGCAAGACATCCAAAGATATGTTTCAGTTTATGTGTTAAAAAATAAAATGAAGGCCAAGCACGGTGGCTGACACCTTTAATTCCAGCACTTTGGGTGGCCAACGGGGTGGGGATCACCTGAGGTTGGGAGTTCAAGAGCAGCCTGACCAACATGGAGAAACCCCATCTCTACTAAAAATACAAAATTAGCCGGGCGTGGTGGCACATGCCTGTAATCCCAGCTACTCGGGAGGCCGAGTCAGGAGAATCGCTTGAACCCGGGAGGTGCAGGTTGCAGTGAACCAAGATTGAGCCATTGCACTCCAGCCTGGGAAACCAGCAAAACTCTGCCTCAAAAAAAAATTAACACAAAATAAAATGCTTGCTAGAATAATCAACTTTGTTCACTCTTTACAATTTCCATACTAATATCCCCTAAATCAATAAAATACAAGCTATAAGAAAGAATTATTATTAAAATCAGTACATGAAACAAATGAGCTCATTAGTCCAAAGGCATTGATTATTCAGAGCAAACCAGAGGGATCTGGATACTCTCAAGACATTTATCACTCAAATACATTTGTACAGAAGATGTGATTCTGATGCTTTACTGTATCAACCTCATAAAATTCCTGAAAGCTTACTTCCTGAAACAAGTACAAAGCTCTGCAATTCTGCTACTATGTACTTCTGGTACAGTACATCTTTCTTGAATCTATCCCACCCCTCCTTTCTAATTCTTACTAATTTGGGAATCTGAGGACCTTAGATATGCATCTAAGAAAACAAAGTAAATGTAACAAAATGTCCAAATTATGTCAACATACACTTAAATTTACTTTCAAGCTACAAGGCCATTCAATTAGTCTGGAGGAGACATTAACAACAGTTCATCCTTAGATTTAACTTCGGGGATTACACTGGAGTTTACAACACTGCTCACCTTTAGAACAGAGGCTAAGCTGGTCATGTGCTCATTGAGGGCACCCTCAGATTCCTTGTAGGTCAAGCAAGTGAACTGGTACTCCTCGGGATCAAAGGCATCAGCCCCCTGCTGTTCCACATCGCTGGCCACTCCCACGTAATAGTCCTCTATGTCCCCAGGGTCTTCGTCCTCTTCTTCCTCTTCCTCACAATTTGGGTCATAGTCCTCTTCATTGCTGTCAGACCCCTGGCTATTCATGTCCACGGACATCTTAGCATCCAGCCAACTTGCAGATCAGGAAAGCAGTTGCTTTTTCCCCCTCCCCCCAAAACTACCGCTTTCTCAAATGCATTAGTATTTTTGTCTTCTAAGGGAGAAAAAAAAAATAAGTGTTACTTTTTCCCCATGACAAGCTGTAACAGAAACCGTTCAAGAATCAAAATGGCACAGTCCTGGCCCTAATTTCACTATACCCTATTCCAACTCTGGTATAACATGGGGAATCTCACCCTCATCCCCCTGGCCCAGGCTTATCAAAGGGAAACCCTTCCCTGGAGAGACAGAAGCAGCTGATAATAGTAACTTCACATGAAGGGCCTGGCATGATAGGGCAAGGCCGTCTGCTCCATGTCAGGGAGTCAAATTCCAATGAACTTGTTAGTCTTGCCACAGTCCTTAAGGGAGAAGCACATCCACACAGCTGGCTGCCCAGAGGGGAAGCAACATAAAGATATAGCTACCAAAGTTTAAAATTTTGCTAATCATGGTCCAGTGAGTATTGATACAGACAGTACATAAATAGGAACACTTCCCGTTATAATATGTACAAAAAGAAGACCACTGTTTCACAGACATTAATCTTAGATGTCTGAAAAATAGATGTATAGTTGGTAAACAAAAAAAAAATGGCTCTCGGCCTTAGCGCCATTTTTTTTGGAAGCCTCTGTGCCATGACAGCCAAGTGGAGGAAGAAACGAATGCGCAGGCTGAAGCGCAAAAGAAGAAAGATGAAGCAGAGGTCCAAGTAAACCTCTAGCTTGTTGTACCGTGGAGGCCACAGGAGCAGAAACATGGAATGCCAGACGCTGAGGATGCTGGTACAAGTTGTGGGACTGCATGCTACTGTCTAGAGCTTGTCTCAATGGATCTAGAACTTCAATGCCATCTGATCGCCGATCACCTCTGAGACCCACCTTGCTCATAATCAAAACTGCCCATGTTGGTCCTTTGCCCTGGACCTGTGACATTCTGGACTATTTCTGTGTTTACTTGTGGCCAAGTGTAACAACAAAATAAATCACCTCTTCTGCTGTCTTAGCTGAAGAATTTAAAAAAA